TTGCCCTAATTTTACTACTATGTTCCTAACTGATTAAGCCTGAAAAAAATTAAATTCAATTGGCTATAAAATAATTATGTTGCCATTAAAATAGGCATTATTTGTTGCCATATAAACTTTCAAAGATGCAAAAAATCCTCAAAAATTATGTTCATATAATACATAACCCACTTAGTATCATTATGCAATATACTTATTCAACCAGCTTCAAAGTTAATACTTCCATATCATACTTGTCAAATTTCAATTGTAATCAGTAATGTTATTAAAAGACAAAACAATGTGTAACTAGTACTAGTTATTTCTTGTTCATATTTACTTTAGCAACCCAATTTGTACAGTCAAATTACCATCAGTAAATTGCAATAATATTTCTTAAAAACATTGATGATTCTAGAATGACAGGATTTACTATAGAATTTTATAAACCCTTCAGGTGAGCAAAGATAAACTTTACTATAAGTTTTAAACATGGGACATAGGTAAGTGTTATGGCAAAAAGATGACCTTAAAAGTGGAAATAATAATAACTTCACAAGATATTGCCAGGGATTAAATTTCTCTATGAATATAATAAGTAACTTAAAGAAGATTAAATATATGTGAAATAATAAATTTATATATAGATGAACATATATAAAGTATTATTTAGTTACATGTTATAGTAGATATATTCACATATATTTATCTATAGCTACATACATTATATAAGTATAATACAAATGTATGTTTATATGCCTACATTTATATATAAAGGCCTTGGCACAGTTCCTGGTCCATAATAAGCCCTCAATATACAGGGCTATAATCATAATTAATAATCCATCAAAAACTTTGTGCTAAAAACAAACATTTGCCCTTGACACTTTCACAACCTAGTGCTCTGTCATTTCTTTTCATCAAAAACTACCCCACTTTCTCCTGCTTCTCCTCCAACAGAGGCCTTTGTGGACAGGCTTCTCCTCTATTCAGACCTTCCATGTTGGTCTTTGAGACACTGCAATTTATTCTCACATGGACTATAGAGCAAAGGAAACCATCAACAAAATGAAAAGGCAACATACTTAAGATATTCGCCAATGATATATCGGATAAAGGGTTGATATCCAAGATATATAAAGAAATGATACCATTCAACACCGAAAAACTAATACAATGAACAAATGGGCAGAGGACCTGAATAGACACTTCTCCAAAGAGGACATACAGATGGCACAGACGAATACTAGAAAAAAAGATGTTCAATGTCACTAGTCATCAGAGAAATGCAAATTAAAACCACAATGAGATAACACCTCACACCTGTCAGTATGGTTATAATAAATCAACAAACGACAAATGTTGGTGAGGATGTGGAGAAAAGGGAACCTTTGTGCACTGCCCATAGAAATACAGATTGATGCAACCACTCTGAATAATAGTATGGACATTCCTCAAAGAATTAGAAATGGAACTGCCTTATGAATCAGCGATTCCACTTCTTAGAATATATCTGAAGAAACCCCAAAAGAGTAATTTGAAAGACTATATACACTCCTATGTTTATTGCAGCATTATTTACAATAGCTTAATTTATGAAAGTCATCCAAGTGCCCATCAAATGACGAGTGGATAAAAAAAAAGTGGGGGTACATATATACAATAGATTATTACTTGGCCATAATGAAAGTATGAAATCTTATCATTTGCAACAGCACGAATGGATCTAGCAGGTATAATGCCAAATGAAATAAGTCAGACAGAGAAAGACAAATACATATATGTGGAATCTAAAGAGCAAAATAAATGAACAAGCGAAATAGAAATAGACTTACAGATATAGAGAGCAGACTGATAATTGCCAGAGGGGAGGAGGGTTGGGGGACTGGATGAAAAAGATGAAGGCATTGAGAAGCACAAATTGGTAGCCACAAAATAGTCATAGGATATAAATTACAGGACATGAAATGTAGTCAACAATATTGTAACTAGTACGGTGCCAGTGTGTACTCGAAATATTGGGGGGGGGATACTATATAATGTATATTATTTTAATCACTGTGCTGTATACCTTAAAACTAATACAAAATAATATCCAATGTAATCCTTAATTGGAAAAGCAAAGTAGAAACTTAAAAAGAGAGAGAACATATCTTCATGAACTTAGGGTAATGAAAATTTCTTTGACAACTCATATAAAAGAAAGCAATTATAAACTAATTATACTACTACTGAAATTAAGACTTCCATCAAAAGACACCATTTAGAAATGTAAGCTATTGAGTGAAGTGGACATTTGCAAAACAAGGTCAAGAATCACAATACTGTGTGTGTGTGTGTGTGTGTGTGTGTGTGTATGAACATTGATAAAAAAGAGTTTATAAAATCCAACGGAGAAATGGCCAAGAAACATGAACAATGTTTTCAGAAAACAACATCTCCCAAAGGCCTTTAAACATATGAAAAGGTGCTCAATCTCATTAGTCGCCAGGAGGTGCAAACTACAACTACCATTCTCCAGAATAACTAAAATTATAAAGATTGATAACATCAAGTGTTGCCAGGGACATAGATTAACTGCATCTCTCATATACTGCTGGTGGGAATATAATCTGGTATAACTACTAGGGAAACTTGTTTTCATTATTCACTAAAGCAGAACATATGCATAACATGACACGGCAATTTCACTTATTTATATATCCAACTGAATACATATACATGTGAACACACATGTATAAAAATATTCATGATGACATTACTGGTAACAACTCCAAAGTGCTAATAATTCAAATGTTCATTATAAATAGAATGCATAGAAAATTGTGGTATAGATGGAACTATATAGAATATCATAAATTAATTTTAAAAGATGGTGCTGATCATATATGCCAATCAGAAACGGATACATGCTGTAAGTTTATAAATCAACAAAAGTCATAATAATAATTATCTTGGGGGAGAGATCAATCAAAGGACTTGTATGCATGCATATAAGCGTAACCAGTGGACACAGACAAAAAGGGGTGAGAGCATGAGTAGGGGGTTGGAGGGTAATGGGGGAATAAGGATACTTATGTAACACCTTAATCAATAAAGAAATTTTCAAAAATAACAATTATTATCTTTGGGGAGGGTGATTGATAATGATTGATTAAAGGCACAAAATGAGTTTTCTAGAATACTTATAATTTTTTATTTCTTGACCAGAGTAGTGGTTACATAAATGTAAATACTTTGTAAAAATTCACCTGAATACTGTATACATTTTTTTCTTAATTGAAATATAGCATAGTAGTAAAGTATTAAAGCATGAAGAGGTTCTGAACACATGGAGAGACATACTTTGTTCTCTTGTAAAACTTAATATAAAAATGTCAATTCTTCCTAAATTAATCTGTAAAATCAGTTTAGTCCAATACAAATTCCAGTTGAATTTCTTAAGTAATTGGTTTCTTTAAAAACATATTTGAAAGTCTATAGTTAAATCAATTTAGAAAAAAAGGAGCAAAAACAGGGATTGGTCTTATATAAATTACATTTTAATACTTATTTCAAAGCAATAGTTACAAAAATAGGATGATTTTGGTATAATTGAGAAAAAAAATAGATAATTGCTAAAGAAGTGATAATTCATAGACAGATTAATCCAGTAACTTAAAAGCAGCAACTCAAATCAATGAGGCCAGGATAGCTAACTTAGTAAATAGCATTGGGAAGTCAGGTTTATGATATGGGAAAAACTAAAATGGGATTCTTCTGCACCTCAGAACAAAGTGTCCTCCAAATGGATTAAAAACTAAATATGAAATTTAATATGGAAAAGGCAATATAAAATAACACAGGAACATATCTTTGTAATTTAGACACGAAGATCAACTTTCTATGGAAAACCTCAATAGCACAAACCACGAAACAAACAAAAAAGATTTGGGGCTGACTTATGAACAAGGATATATTTCATAATATTGTATACATGGGAAAATATGGCTTTATTTCAAAATAATCAATTCAACAAAAACCAGCATTAAGCTCATGATAGCCTAGCAGTATGTGTGTGTGTGTGTGTGTGTGTGAGCGCAAATGCGTGCATGTATGTGTATTGGATCTGACATTTGTCAATCTTAATTTTATCTTATAATATCTAAAACATTATTTTGTCTATGACAGGAAAGATTTGCCTACCAACACTTCTAGCTATTTTCCCAATAGTTTTTTCGTACTTAATTTCATTACTGCCTTAATTCTACCACTATTATGACAAGAAATATGTATTTGCCTAGAAAATGCCCTTTTTCTTGCATGAATTCCAACTAACTGCTTAAAAATTCTAGGTAGATAGAATCGCTAGGCTTTCACATTCTTTTGCTGAATTTACATAGTAAATTACATCAAAACACAATAACTTATTAATCGATAATCCAAATTGAATTCTGGCTTTTGAATATAAATTCTTAAAAATTATCTTGTGGTTAGAAAACATTATTTTCTATACCTTCAAATAAAAATGTCATTATTCAAAGATTTAGGAATTAGGCCCCTACAGAAAGAGTGCAAGAAGCATTGACAGAGGCAATATTAAGAAGTGGTTAAGAGTTTGGTAAATTTTTCTTTCTAAGCACTTTTAATAGCTACTTCTGTTTTAGAAAAACTAAATTTTATTTTATTTTTTATTTTCTAGAAACATAAATATGGATACCTTTTCACTCTTTCGTTAACAACCAATTTCAAAGAAAAGGCAGACATAATTAGCCATTTATGTTTTGGAGGCCTCTGAAAAGCTCCAGAAGCTTCACTCAGTTCCTTGCGCCTCGTCATCCCAGAGTCCTGTCTACCTAGTTTCTCTCTTCTCTAACACCATTGGGTCTTGACCATTGGTGAGTTAGTTACATTCTCCCTTTCACGATCACTTTTCCTTTAATGGAACTCATATATGTTCTATTAAAATTTCTCCCTCCAATTCCCAAGAGTATATAATATAAAAGCATGTCTAACCAGCCAAGAGATAGGAAGGCGCTTACCTTCAAAGTAGATGCCTGACTGGATCTCTAGGACTCTGGGGAGGGTCCGGAGGTCAAGGGAGTGTACAAATTCTTCCAGGGACAATGCCATTGCTCTGCTTGTGTCGTGTAGAGAAGCTGGAACTTACAGGAGTTTGTGGCTTCTGGGTGTCACTTGCCTGTAACTGCAGGCCTTGCTCATCATTCCTCCCACAGGCTGGCTGGCAGGAATGTCACATAGGGCCCAACCGAGGTGGAGTAGCTCTATGGGGAGCCGATGGTGAGGAGGGAGGAAGGAGACAAAAGGTGTGAGAGCTCTTTTTGTTCTAGTTGTGGCTTCATTTCCTTCTGACACTGAAGTAGAACAGGATGGGGGTGGGGTGAGCACATCTAAGCAGACATTGCCCTAAAAAAGTGAGATTTGATAAGTAGCTCATTGTCTGTTGCCAGTCCAAGTGTACATCTACAGATGGGGGGGCAGAGCTGCTTGTTGACCAGGAAAGAACAGGAATGCAGGACTAAAAGTCTCATCCTAAACAAGGCACCATGTTAATTCTTTATCTTTTTAGCTCATTTCTAAAGTTTGGCTTTGTGCCTTATTTGCATACTCTGTGCTTTTATATTAAATTTGGTTCTGAAAGTGCTTTTTGTCAGCAATTTTCAGAAATCTGATACTCTAGAGAGAGAGGATCGAAACCACTTTTTATTCTTCCACATTAAAATTTTTGCTGAATCTTAAAGGAGAGTCGGGCAGGGGAGCAATATGCAAAGTGATACAGTAAATTAATTCAGGAAGTTAATATGCATTTTCTAATCTCCACACTACAGTGAAAGTATCTAAATCTGTCATTAGCACACCTGGGTTTCCTGGGTTTAGATTGCTTCTGATTCACAGGTTACTTCAGTCTTGTCTTTGCTGTTCCTTATTTGTCTCATTTATTAAATGGAGAAAACATAGGAATCAAATAAAGTGTACAATTTCTTTCAAAGCTAAAATTCCACAATTCTGACCCTGTGGTTCAAATTTAGGCAGGAAAATTCCCAAAGTCAGAAGGAGCAAGAGAATCCTTATAAAATCACATCTTACAAACGCTCCCCGCCACCCCTTCTATTCTTTATATTAGCTGAAACAATGTTTTAAAGCTACAGTTTACAACTCAACTCAAGGCTATATTTCCTAAGTCTCTTGAAGGGTGCATAAAGGAAGGCTGCTTGGTATAGATACAAGTGAAAAATGCTAAGAAACTGCATCCTGACAGGCTCCCTGTCTAGAAATTGTCTTGGCTTCAGGCTGCAAAGAACACAGCCAGATAGAGAGGGCCAGGGCTCATCACAGCTCTACCATATCGTTCACATAAGGGACCTAGCAATAGAATGCCACCTTAGTTTGGTATAGAGTTTACCAAACGCTTTCAGCTCTTATTAACATGTTTGATACTTGCAATAATCTGCCAGGATTCATTTCTTTCTTTACAAGACTAGAATTTATGGGGTCATTTCACTTGTTTTTTGTTTGTTTTTGTTTTTTGTGGTTTTTTTTTTTTCACCAGTAGCTTCTACTTCCTCACTGTAATTCTACTCCCTCCCCAAATATCCCAAGCTTGATTTCTTTGCCTTCTGCACCCCTCTTTCTAAGCACAGACTCAACTGACCACAAACATTGCTTACAGCCTAACAGCGTACCTCACATGATTAAATACATGGAAAAGCTGCTGTGCACTGCTCCTTAAAAAGCACACATCTGTGAGAATCAGTGCCAAAGCAAATTTGATTGGATATCAAATCCAAACGGGACTTCATTTGATCTTTCTTCTTCTTCTTCTTCTTCTTCTTCTTCTTCTTCTTCTTCTTCTTCTTCTTCTTCTTCTTCTTCTCCTCCTCCTCCTCCTCCTCCTCCTCCTCCTCCTCCTCCTCCTCCTTCTTCTTAATATTTCCAAGTAAACTTTCTATCCTATTAGCTAAAGAAGTCACTTTAAAATATCACCAGTCTTTTGCTCTTTCAACAGATGATCCTTCCTTTCTGTTACAATCTGCTTCTCTTGTATTCCCAGTATTAGCTAACGACACTACCATTCTCTTAGTTTCCCAAGCCAGAAGGCTGCATGGCGGGATATGCCATCTCCAGCCTCCACATGCCTCATGCACTCTCAATGGCAATGCTTCACATCCCTCTCTCTGTTCTTGCTCTGTATTCCCCACCATTACCACGGAAGTCCAGATCATAACCACTTCTGACTCCGTAGGCAAAGAAACCTTGATGGGAATACCAAGATAAAATTGATGAATAGCAATAATGAACCACCAGGTAGTAAAATTAATAATTAAAGTTCAATAACTGAAACAGCAGATTGCAGATTTTATAATAGACGAATCAGGGCTCAGAAACAAACCAGAGGATAAATAATCACTATTTGAAAGAGGCAAAATTCCAGATCAGTAGGAAAGACTATTTTATTCAGTAAATTTAACCAGTACTTTTACCAAGGGGAATGTGAAAAGTGGATGCTTTTTAAAATGTCTGTCTTAAGGAACAGGAGAATTATTAGGGCAGCTGGGACTTGAGAGGCTAATATGTATGCTGAAAGGTCTGAAAACACAATGAGGAAACCCAGTGTTCTGCACTTCTTTTCCTGTCAAGGCATTTATGAGTTAGTAATTGGCATCAAGAGAGAGGCTGAGAAGCAGAGCGAAAGTGGTGGTTAAGGAGGAGAGAAGCCGAGTTGAGTTTTTAGCTGTTTCACATAGCTAGAGAGATAAAAAATTAGAATTTGGGGCTATCAAGCCTCCAGGGAAACCCAGAAAAATGTGTTGTTCAGCACCTTTCAGAATTTTGACCATTCAAAAGGAGAATAGGGTTGATTGTATTGGACACAAGTTAGAAAGTGATCAGTAGGACTCCACACTAGGGATAGAGCCCACAAGCTGGACATGTACAATACCTTGCCTGGGAATCAAACATGACCTCCTGGTTCATAGGCTGGCCCTCAACCACAGAGCCACACGCTGGGCAAGAAGTGCTTTCCAAATGTCTTTTATTCCTGGGAAGGTAGGGCCTGCCAAGGAGGAGGGGCTCAGATAAATGTATTTTGCTTCCAGTTGGGGCCCCTAAAGGCTACTTTTTCAAAAGAAAATATTGACCATAAATAGGACAAGCCTTCCCAGACAAAAATTAGCTCAATCCCTGATTGGATTAAAGTGATTTGCTCCATTTTAGCTGTCAGATAAGAGCAATAGTAAATCCTGCCCGTGGGGAAAATCAACCAGAACTTCTATTCCTTTTTAAATACAATGTCTAGGCTTTAATAATAATAACAAAAATCAGATATAAAATTATTAGGCATGAAATTTAAAATAGTTTTAACATGCTCAAAACTAGGAGAATTTTAGAAGAGAATGGCCATTTATAAAAGTATCAATCAAAATTCTTAAGTTAAAAAATACAATTGAAAATAAAACAGGATTTACAATATGTGCAAAGAAACCAAACACACTAATTTGAAACAGTATATGCACATCTATATTCATTACAGCATTATTTACAATAACCTAGCTATGGAAGCAACCCAAGTGCCCATCAGTAGTTGGGGGGACAAAAAAGCCGTGGTACATATATACAATGGAATATTACTCGGCCTCTAAAAAAATGAAATCTTACCATTTGTGGCAAGGTGAATGGCCCAAGGTATTATGCTAAGTGAAAAGAAAAATCAAATACTATATCAGATCATGTGGAATCTGAAGAACAAAATAAAATAAAAACATACTTATAAATATAGATAACAGACTAATAGATGCCAGAGATGAGGGCTTTTAGGAGAGTGGCATAAAAAAGGTTATGGGATTAATAAGTACTAATTGGTAGTTACAAAATAGGCACAAGGATATAAAATACAGCATAGAAATATAGTCATTAATATTGTAATAAATATGCATGATGCCCCTTGGGTACTGGAAATATCAGGGGACTCACTTTGTAAAATATATGATTGTCTAACCACTGCAATGTACAACTTAAACTAATATAAAATAACACTGAATGTAAAATATACTTTAATTTTTTTTAATAATAAGAAAAAATACAACTGAAATTAAAATTTTAATAATTGGATTTAACAGCTCATTTGGACATATAGTAAGAGAGGACTGTTGAACTGGAAAATATCTATTTTCTACAGAGATAAGTATTCAGCATTAAGAAAATAATATAAGGGGCATTTCAGTCACAGTGAAGTGGTCTTTGTTTATGTGTACATTGAGTCCTGACATAAAAAGAGAAAGAGAATAGAGGGGGAACCAATATTTCAAAAGAGAATGTCTGAAAAAACATCAATTCATAGATTCAACAACTGTCAAGAAAATCAAGAAGGGTAAATACAAAGAAAACATATCAAGTAACATCATACTAAAACTTTTAAGAACCAAAGTCAAAGAGAAGATCTCAAATTTAATCTGAGGGGAAAAAGATCAACTTCAAAGAATGAAAGTAAGACTATCATATAGCTGACTTATTAACAACAACAAACAAAACAAAACAAAAAAATAACCCAGCCAGAATACAATGAACTAGCATTATAAAAATACTAAAACATAATAACTACTGACTCAAAATTCTACATTTAGAAAAAAACAAAACAATAAAAGGAAGGGTAAGGTAACTATATTTTCCAACAAACAAAAAGTAAGGATATTTGTCCTCAAAAGGATGTTTTTCAGGCCAAAGGAAAGTGGTTCTAGACAGAAAGACAAAAATGCTGAGGAATGAGGAAGGTAAACTGAATAAATATGGACTGTACAAAACAATAATTGCAATAATTCAAGGAGTTTAAAATATATGTAAATTCTATACAGTTCAAACAATATATTGAAAATGCAATAATGAATGCAGAAGAAAAAGCTAGTAAATAAATTAAAATATTCTCTGGTTCCAGTTTCTTGAGAAGCTATAAAAGTAATAATTTATATTAGACGGAAATAAAAATGCATCCTATAACTTCCCTGCAAACAGCTATATAAAATAAATCCTATCTAATAAAGATAAAATATGCTAATTGACTGCCATGCCCTCACAAGATGCAGTGCCCACAGCCACAAGATGGTGGGACCCAGTCCCTTCAGCCCTGCCTCATCCAGCCTCAGTCCCCTAGTTCCATAAGCCCCACCTCATCCAGCCTTAGTTCCCCAGTCCCCTCAGCCCCACTTCATCCACCCAGAGTCCCCAGTCTCCTCAGCCCCACAGGGGAAGGCAGTTAGAGGTGATCGGGCTGGCA